CAATAACACTAAAAGTAGATTAATTTCGCAATAAATCAGCTTTGGTTCAATACATAAAACTAATGACGTTGAAACCAAACCAAATTACAACAGAGAGAAGAATCATCTCGGTTAATGGCTTTCTTTTATTTGCTCCACAACACATAAATTTGTAAAGATGCATGTAACGAGAGGGAGAGAGATTCACGTAAAGACTTGAAAACATATTTTTCACTCACGAACTTGACTAAGCAGAGACCAATGTGGGAGCTGAAGTAGGTGAATCGAATTCGATACACATTCTTACTATTTGACTCTTCTGAATCTGGAGACATCTTCATCGAACAATTTTACGACATACTTGTAGTCACCCTTCACAAATAAATAAACAGTTAAGAGAGAGGCAAACCAAGTGGAGGTGTAAAAATGCGAGGAATGTGTTTTTTTCCAGCTAGATTGGATATATAGAGACGGTAATTAGTCACAAGCCAATGTTAATGAAACCAACATTCCTATAATCCTATGATTCACTTAATGCGATTTCAACTATTATTATAAAATCGGTCCACATATTCCAAAGTTTAGTCTAGGCTTCGACCCCGGATCCCCCCCTCCCCCCGTTATATATAAAAAACATGTCATATGATTAAGAAACAATCACAATCATACATGTTGTTTCTATATGCAAAAGAGTGTAAGAATAATTACACCAAGAGGAACTTCGTCAAGAGGTAACACAAAGTTGGTGTCAGCTTCAATAGCACAGAGGAAGTAGCGTCTTACAAGGCCAGTAGTATCCCCAGATTTAGAGTACATCTCTATAGCTCCGAAGTCGATGCTTTCGTCAACTCCATCTCGTCACCGCCGGCAACCCCTGCGCCTCCGCCAAAAAATCCATCTCCGGGACTGAACCCCCCCACCTCCCCTCAGCCACCGCCATTCCGCCGCCGGCGCCGGGCATCTCTGCTGGCCCCAACCCGTTGAGACCCTCCCCCCCTAACCCTAATCAATTAATGGGCTGGGCCAATTTGGTTTATGGGCTTCTTAGCCCAGTAAGATTAAATCCCCCAGGCCCATTTCATGTAAAATGCCACAAATCAGATCGAAAGCTTTTTTGGCAAATCAGGTTTAATACTACTCTCGATTTTTCATTGCAAAGATGTATCGTCCAAAGATGTACCGCCTTTCTTGTCGTTTAAGACATATTGTTACAGAGCTCGTTAAAATCGAAGTCCTCCAAATCGAGCCTGGAGAGACCTATTCGCCCTCACCGTGCTTCATTTTATGAATCGTCAAGATCCATATATCCACGAATGAGAGGTGCAAAGTTTTCAGGATTCTCAAATCCTGTAATCTACTCCCAGTGGAAGAGTTCTTCCCCACCTTCTTCCATCTCGTTGAGATTGGTCGTATTTTCTTCCCTCTCTTGGAGAGCGGTCGAATCCCCGAGCTTTACGTCGGGACCTTCAAAGTCACAATGGAAAGTGACTATCCTGAGAATCTCCGGCTTTGCCGCGAAGACCCTCTTAACGCATCCGAAACATGTCTTGGATCTCTGTCCATCCTCTACGATGATTTATCTGATTTAGCGTTTATTGCATTTTAATTATGTTGTATTAATTTCGGAGGATGCCTAATTCCCTCCTTTTGTACTCTATCGTTTAATTTAATGAAAAGTTGGTTTAAAAAAAAAAAGATTATTAGAAAACTGTTATTTTTGGTGACTTTAATTTGTAATGTTATTGCAAAGGGGGAATTTCTTAAGCGAGGGACAGTATATCTTTGGGTTTAGAAATATTTTATGTTTTCTATTCACACAATTAATAGGAAAAAACTTAGACAAAATGATATTCGCCTCAATACGTTTTTTTTTTTTTACAATTTCGTATTTCATAGAATTTTTATTCGCCAAATTCACAATACAACTTATATTTGAAAAAAAAAAAAAAGAGGAGAGAGTTGAAACTTGGGAAGATCATTTACGTACTTGCATAACCGAATACCCTAATGCTTATCTCCTCGTCGTCAGGCCCAACCGGGTTCGGAGATATCTCCACACGAGAGACGTTACCAAAATCGTATCCACTTTCTACAACAGTCCGCAAAGATTATAATTATAGTGTCAAAAAACTGGATCTATATATCTTTCTTACAAAAATAAACCTAAAAGTATTATTAAATGGATATGTCAACAAACAATAGAAGTAGGTGTTTCACATATAGAATGAAAAAAAAAATCATCTAAAAATAACAACCACTCCTAATATTATTTTGATTAAAGTTGATTTTCTTGAAGAACTAATGAGCCGAAGAAGAGATAAGACTCATCCACTGCGCTCTATACCACTTTCTTTCATTTACGTGGATGATTCATCTCGGAGATTTTAAACCATTATTCAACGATTCTGAGACTGGCTAATATGTTAGATAAATAGTTTAATTATGGAATAGCGGAATCAATAGAACGACAAAACTCTTATGTACTAAACAAATTAAAAAAAATTGAATAGCAAAACAACTTAATAACAAAAACAAAATAGTCTTGACTAAAAAAAGAAAAAAAATAGTAGTTTTTAAAAACTAACTTGTGAGACTATATTACATAAGATTTTTTAAAAAGTTTTTATCTTATCGAATAAACTTTGTTACTATGAAAATGAAATTCATTTTTGGATCCAACTTGGCGACAGA